TGGCCTTTCTATACACAAATAATGAGACAGAGGAAAGTGACATGAAAAAAAAATCCCATTCACAATCATGCCCCAGAAAATCAAGTACCTCAAAATCAGCCTAACTAAAGAGGTAAAGGACCTGTACAATGAAAACTACAATACATTACTTCATGAAATAAAAGAGAACACGAAGAAATGGAAACATATTCCCTGCTCATGATAGGAAGAATTAACATTGTCAAAATGGCAATACTCCCCAAAGCATTATACAGATTCAATGCGATCCCTATAAGGACACCTATGAAATTCTTCAAAGAAATGGATCAAGCACTCCTGAAATTCATATGGAACAACAAAAACCCACGAATAGCTAAAGCAATTCTTGGGGAAAAGACATTGGGAGGCATTACCCTCCCCAACCTCAAACTCTACTACAAAGTAGTGACAATTAGAACAGCATGGCACTGGGAAAAAGGCAGAGCTGCAGACCAATGGAACAGGGTGGAATATCCTTATACACAACCCCAAATTGTATAAATATCTAATCTTTGATAAGGGAGCAAGAAATATGAAGTGGAACAAGGAAAACCTCTTTAACAAATGGTGCTGGCATAACTGGACAACCACATGCAAAAAAATGAGCTTAGACCTCGACCTAACACCATGCACAAATGTCAGATCAAAATGGATTAAAGATCTTAACATCAGGCCAGAATCCATAAGATACATTGAAGACAAGGTCGGCAAAACCCTCCACGATATTGAGGCTAACGGTATCTTCAAAGATGACATGCCACTGACCAACCAAGTGGAAACAGAGATAAACAAATGGGACTATCTTAAACTAAAAGCTTCTGCACCACAAAAGATACAGTGACCAAAATATAAAGACAATCTACAGAATGGGAAAGGATATTCACCTGATACCCATTGGACAAGGGATTGATATCAAGGATATATAAGGCACTGGTTGAACTCTGCAAGAAGAAAACATCCAACCCCATCAGAAGATGGGTTAATGAAATGAATAGAAATTTTCTCAAGGAAGAAATGTGAATGGCAAAAAGGCACATGAAAAAATGCTCATCACTAATCATCAGGGAGATGCAAATCAAAACAACTATGAGATACCACCTCACACCACAGAGAGACTGGCACACATCCAGAAGAACAAAATCAACTGGTGTTGGTGTGGACGTGAGGAGAAAGGGACCCTCAGTTATTCCTTTTTAATGAATTGTCCTATCACTGGAGGTTTACTGGAGTCAAAGGCAAGTGTGTTTATCTGGAACGCTGAGATCAGAGTGGCCTGGCTCTCATAACTCATTGCTAACTGCCAAAAGAATATATTAGTGTTTGAGTTACTGCACAGAACCCTGAAATTGCCTAAACATCTATAACTTGCCATAAATCATATTAGTAAATACTTGCCGCAAAAGTCCAGAAATACTACTAAGTACTTAACTTCACCCTTTAGTAATGTAATGATAGAATATTACTGATTTACTGATTTAATTTATTGTTTTACTTTTTAGTTTTTAATAAGCACGTGTGGCTGTTAGAAATATAAAAAGGGTACCCCATTTTAAATTTTAAAAACTTTAAAGTTTTCTTATAAAAGTAATATAACTGATAACTCTGCAATTTGAGTTTTGTGAGCTATTTTGAAATCAGTGACGGTGGCTAACTGTCTAATCTTGGGCTGGCTTCTTTTCATACCTGTTAGGAAAATTCACCCCGATCAGAGCCCAACACCGGGAATTTGTTTTTTAGCTTAATATTTACTGACTAATTTTCATTTAGAATGTTATCTTCCCTTCCTAAAGCAGCCTGAGAGAGCTGAGCATGATTACCCATTTTAAAATGATACCAGCAGCAGGAATCACAGCGCCCCGCACTGGAAACAATCTTGGGTTCTAAGTCGCGACTGCTAGAAACCTACATACAATAAGAGACTCCTTCACTTTTTAAACACCTTTTTCTATTTCATTACTGCCTGGATTTAATGAAATTTACTCAAGCTCTATAACTTTGCTCACCCTCGCAAACCTTTATAAATGCAATTTTCAGTTCGACCCAGCTGTTTCCCATGACAGCTCACATATAATATGTACATTGTACAGATGCCTTTTAAATGTCCACAAATCCCCCAAATATACTGACAGAAGTTTAATGGTGAAGATTTGAAGATAGAGATAGTGAAGATAAGACAAGGAAGAAAACCTCCCGCTCTATCTTTCTTTCCTAAAAGGTGCTTAGTTTGATCAAAAAAACTGTCAAATGGAAAAAAAATGTATCTTTCTCCACAAAACACACATTTTCTTAAGGCATATTATTGAAACTGAAGATGCAATATTTGTACATACATTACTTTAGAAAATCGGAAAGGTTCCAGGAATCAGTCCTAAAATTATTTATTTCCTTAAAGAGTGCTAATGTACTCTTTCTAGAGGGAAAATACATAGGCATAATAACCCCAAGAGAATACATTGTGAATAATTTAAGTTTTTTTCCTAGCTGACTGTGGAGAAAAACAGATGGAATGATTCAGTGTGTTATCATTTTCTACTACATTAGGCATTGCATGTAACAATTCTCTATGCTAGCAAGTGCACGCACACACACACACACAAACACACACACACGCCACTCTGAACACATGTTTTGTTGCTGTTTAATGGAAGAACATTGTCAGAACTTCTCAGCAAGTGAACATCCTGTTTATACTCTGTCACCCCAATTTATGGCTTCCCCCAAATTTATTCTTCATTTTAGGCACAAGACTATCCTAACTCCCTGTTTGAGCTGGCAGGAGCCTCTTCAGAATTCATTAGACGGAGAAAATGGATCTTTCTTCCTTGATCCCAGGGTCGAGTCAAAACGAAAATGGCCCAGCCTCCTCCTTCACGTCACCTCCAGCTTCTCATTCAAAGGGCTACTTTGGGCGGCAGGTGGAGTTATAATTATAGATGAGAAAAAAGCAACATCAGCAGCTGTTGCTTCTGTTTGTTCCCGGCTATAACTGTCATCAGTGGGCAAATTGGCATAAACAGGCCTCCACAAGTGGAAAAACATTTCACTCTGGGACTGGTCGCACTCTGGGTCCTCTCAGTGGCCAGAGAACAGAAATAATCTGACAGTGCATGAGCAAAGAGTGAGACTGGGAGCACAGCACCGGCCCTAGTCGCCTCTTCAGGCGGAGCCTGACATTGGAAGATTTTTCTTTCCTGTTGGAGACGCCAAACCAAATAAATAGGTTAGTGCACCGAGAGTATACGAATGCATTCTAACTCTGACCTCAGCTCTAACGCGTGAGCTTGGTTTTTCTGATAGAGCTAACACAGAAGGGGGGAATTACTGAGGGAAGTTCTCTGGGAATGGTTATTAAAAACTACCATGCCCATAAGAACCAATTATAAATTTGATTTAACTTCTGATGATCTTTTCCAAACTTTGGCTCCTGTCACACTGGACAAATAGACAAGGTAAAGATGGAAAAATAAAACTGGTTTTGTGGTTTGAGTCCCACCCTCTCACTTACTTATGCACTTACACATGCCAGGAGTCTATATCTTCTTTATTAAATTCAGTAAATTTGAGGACATATTTATGATATTTATGATGATTTTTTTTAAATCTGTGAATATAGCGTTAGTGTTTAATTTCTTTAGAAATACCAGGCAAATCAGGGAAGTATTGTTTTCTTACCTCTGCAAAAAGACAGAAAATGTTCTTGTTTATAGTAAAATGTATTCCACAGTTGATTTTATATAAGAAATCTGCTCTCATATGAATTTCTTGTTTCTAATGTAAGTCTTCCCAAAAGTTTCATGATTTCAGTCTATATCCTTTTGTGATAACTAGAAATTTTCAAGAAATCTTATGTGTATGCAACATGGTGGAGAGTTTTAGAGCAGAATTTTCAAGCAAAGTTAGCTTTAGGTTATTTTCTTACAACTTGACAAGTGGTTAAGATCTTGATTGATGGAAATGAATGAAATTCTAAAGAATTTACTGAAAATTCGGTTTGGGGGCACAATTCTTTTCCCACACAGATCCAAATGAACATAATCCTCGGCAATCCTTGTTTCGATCAGCTCCACATGGACCTCGAGCCATTTATCAGCAATTTATCAGAACTTACATTGGGAGAGTGTGCTTTTCTTCATGTAATTGTGGCTCAAAATTTTATCTTGTTTTCAATCACAGGGTGTTAACTCTATATTCAGAGCTCTTCTAAAAAGACACCGTACCCAACTAAAGAAACTCATCAATTAAAGTCCCATAAGGGATTTGCTTCTTTCCCACAATATCTTTTGATTTCTCAGAAGAGAGATAAGGTTTCTTCTTAGGAAATTTAAGGTTGAAACTAATGCCTCTTAATATTTTATATCACATAAAGATTCAAACAATACATTTGGCCCCTGGTTTTGAAAATATCAATTAATATAGCATATCAACACCCTGTGGATTTTCCCGTGGATTAAGAAAATGTATAAGAACCAGAGAGATAGTGCAAGGGTTAAGGTTCTTGCCTTGCATGCAGCAGAACCCAGATCAATTCCCAGAACCACATATGGTTCCCTGAGGACCTCCAAGAATGACTACTGAGCACAGAGCCAGGAGTAAGCCCCAAGCACAGCCGGGTATGGCCCCCAAGCCCTAGCCCCTCCAAAAATATATAAGTGACATTATGTCATCTTACATGCTCACCTACCTATTTAAATATTTATTGAAAATTGTCTGTCTAATATTTAAAAATCTAGAAATTAAGGCAAGCTTAAAAGCTCTAGTATTTCTCTTTTCAGAAATTCCTATCTTGCTCTTTTCTACTAAAACATTTAGCGCTGAGATATTCATTATCTCTAAATTCCAAATTGTGCAAACTGTGAAAGGCAAAAGGCAAGAGGTTGACCTATTGCTGGCTTGGGTTTCCTTTGAGATACAGATTTATGCTCTGTTTTAAACATTGCTTTTTTTTCTTGTGTTTTGTCTTCTTGCCCTTCTAGAAAAAAAAACTATCCAAGATGACTGTCACTTACTCCAGTAAAGTAGCAAATGCGACTTTTTTTGGATTTCATAGGTTACTCCTCAAGTGGAGAGGGAGCATCTACAAACTACTGTACAGGGAATTTATTGTTTTTGCTCTTCTTTACACAGCAATAAGTTTGGTGTACAGGTACTTTCCTTTGCATGTCTCTTTAAATGGCCCTCAAATATCATGTAAGAATACAGTCTCAAAAATCAGCCCTGTGGTTGCCGCTGACTTTTGCATTACATAACCTCATTTGCATGATCCTTCCTATTGCCTTCTCCTCAGGACAGGGTGTTTTAATCCACACCTAACCATGTTTAGGCGCCAAATAGACTCTAACTATTATGTTCAGATGAGACTCATCTCAGCCCCACATTAATTGACCACTGAGAGATATTGGGCTTCAAGAACGTGGCCATAGTATAAAATGGAAAAATTATGCTTAGATCCTAACTATGAAATGATTTCAGATGGCAAAGTTCACAAATTATTTGTGCCTCTCTCTACTGCATTATTCATAGTTTAAATTTGTGAGTTGGCCATTTGGAGCAACTCTTCATGTAATTTACATGTTTGTGAATGGCATGTACCAGGCAAGTTTCCTTCCTTGCACCTGGAATGACAAGGCCCACCCTGGAGAGTGCTCGTGACATCTGACCAAATATTCAGCTAAAGAAAAAGCCTGAAAACTAAGTTATGTTCTTTACATCTTCTGAGTTTGAGGAATTTTGTGTTCACAAAAGAAGATGCTTATTCTTTATTATATTATAGTTTATGCCTGTCAGGTTGACAGAAAATTTGAACATCATGTTCAAACAATACTTTCAGGACTAGAAGTATAGCCTTAATAAGTTTTTATTAGTATTGTAAAAGGGAAGATTTATGAGGTTTTTTAAATCAAACCCCAAGGCATACATTTCCTTTTGAAGGGGAAATGAAAGTTTAAAATAGGAAAGCTAAAGGTTTTTGAGGCTGTATTTCCACCTTTTCTATGTACATTTTTCTGTTGTTTTTCTTCTAATACAGATGAACAAATTTGTATATTATTTCTCTCACCTATATCTTCCTTGCAGCAACAGGAGGGATATTTGAAGAGGAGAGATAATAATTTGGCTGGCTGATATTTATCAGAAATAAAATAGGAATAGCTATTTTGCTATATATATTGAAGTTACTATTTCAGACAAATTGCATATGTGGATCTACAAAAATATTTGGCAAAATATCTCTAAAGGGAAAAAGTATTAATCATTTTGACAATTTGTTTGTCACTTAATTCTTCAGAATATGAAATGGTGGAAGACACTTGACCTTTCAGGATAATTGTCCTAGTAGTTTATTTTTACTAATGGGAATTTATTGCTGCTACTGCCACTTAGAATAGAATAGCTCTTAGAACAGTTGCAACATAGCCAAAAATGCTCCATAAGACTGTAACTTCTGTTTCAGTATCTGATTTATACCCCACAAAATAGTATGCATGTATTTTTTTCTAAAAACCAAAGTGTTCTTACTTACATTTGTAGCAATAATTATTAGTTCAAGTCATTCTTCACTATTAAACTCAACTTTTCAAGTTTGTAAAAATAGATATTTGACCAAAGTTATATATAAGAACTCTAGGCTGAATTTGCCAATAAAGCCAAGCATAACTGTAGAAAAATATAGTTTTTTCTATTCATGATCCTATTTATTACAAGTTTGTGTAAAGAAGTAATTTGTTATAGGTTTTTGTAAATCCTATTTGAGCAAATAATACTTAAATATTTTACAAAAAACATAAGACAGAAGCAGAATTCATTAACTGAATTCTATCTCTTCCTATTTGAGGATGGATTTGACAAAATAGTCACTGTCATATTTTCTACTAGTAAAACTTCTGATAGTAAAACTTCTTTTCTTTTGACCAACTACTAATAACAAATACTTTATAATTGATTATGACACCATATTATTATACTTATTTTGTTGTTGTTTTGAGGCCACACCTGGCAGTGCTCAGGGGCTACTCTCGTCTCTGTGCTTAGGAATCACTCCCAGCAGTACTCAGAAGGATGTGGGTATTGCTGGGGATCAAACCTGGGCTTCCTGCATGCAAAGCATACATTCAGCTCCTTGAGTATGTCTCCAGCCCTCACATATTTTCCATTCTTTCATCTTCATAACATCCCTGATACATAGGTACTATGTATCTCGTCATTTAGAAAGAGAAAACTTTGAAAGATTTGAAAATGTTCTCAAAGGTCAAATATGTATTGTGGTATGCCTGGATCCAAACCTGTCTTTGACTGGTCCCTGGCTCACACATTCCATATAAAATTCTCTTGGAAAGTTGCACAGGAAGTCTTTGGGGAGAGATGTAGCTATATTCTCTATAAATGTGTTGATATTAACAGTTCTATATATTATCCCAAAAAAAGTTATATTTTACCCTCTGTTGGTTGAAAAATAAAATCAACATCCACTCAAAAAAAAAGTTAAGTAATCCAGTCTCTCTGACCATTGCTATTTGAGTATCAAAAAACATCCTGACGTCACTAGTCATTGGCATGCCACTCCAGGCTGCCTCTTCTACCAGCTTTTCCTGAGCTGGGAAATTCTGGCACCTCCTCCAAAGCTGAGGCAGGAACTCCAAGCCCACCAGGCACCCACACATCTTCCTTGGCAACTTCCAATATCCCTGGCAGCTCCTTCTCTGCTGTCTGAGTGATGGCTCCCTGTTACCTCACGAGCCTTCTGCTCCCTCTTGGGAAATTCTGCTGACCCAAACAGACCTTTGACACCTATTACAACAGCACTCTCCTCCCTGGAACAGCCACGTGCATTCATTTGTGAAAGTTTATAAGAGATGCTTCTCCTTCTGGATTCGGATTATTATCAACCTGCCTTGAGACCTTATGTCTGACTAAATCCCCTACCACATACCTGCCAGTAATAAATATATGTTTAATAATGCTGAAGACTGGGTTTGGGTCAGCTTGATTATACACAATTTGTTATTTATAGCACATAAATATTAACCCGCCAAATTTAATAATAAAAAGTTTTCACTTCTAATTGATAAATTTGTTATTCCACATTTTAAATAACTGTGAAACTTAAACAGCTGTAAGGTCTCCTGAAATAGAGCATTTTTAGATGAGGGTTGGTAAAGTAGTACATGCAAGAGAAAGTAAGATCAAAGATGTCAAATTCAGGGTTATCATTTAATAATTAATAATGTTCATCAATTTAATCAAGACACTTTTTAAAGTATGCCTGATAAATCATTGAAAAAAATGAATCTTTTATGAGGTACCTTGCTCCAATTTGAATGCATTCGTCACATAAAAGTTTAATAATATAAAGTATTTAAACTTTAAATGGTTAATAAACCCCATTATTTACTGGTAATATCTATCTACAAAGAGCCTTAGTACTTAAAACATTCAGCCGTTTTTAAGCTTTTTTGATTCATCAATTTAGGTAGGTAGGAAAGAAAAATTTATTGCTCCTTTAAAAAAAATTTTAAGATTATTTATGGTTAAATGTTTGCACTGAATGTCACTTGCAAAGTAGGTGCAGAAGTATAATATCATAAAGGGCTGTGCATTTTATTTTTGCTCCAGATTGTTACTTACAGGAGCCCAAAAACGTTACTTTGAAAAATTATCAATTTACTGTGACAGATATGCTGAACAAATTCCAGTAACCTTTGTGCTTGGTAAGTATAGGTGACACGCAGAATGCAGCCATATAGCTGTCTCCGTTAGGGTGGCACCAGTGACTCTGCATGGGAGTGTTTCCAAGCTGAGAGGCATGCCAGAAAAGCCACTGCTTGCACTAGAACCAGAATCATCCAGAAGGTTTGCCTTCAGGGCCGCTTTTGCTAAAATTAACACTGAACCAGTTTGAGGTATTAGTCTGCTGTTGGACAGTTATGCTTTCTCTTCACTAACTCTCCATTTTTGCCGTCAGTTTTTGAATTCTAATACCCACTTACTGGGTGCTACAGCATTGCCAGGCACAAATTCCTTTTTTTCTGGAGGGCAAAAATCGTTAAGGTATGGGTATAACAACCTATTTTTACCCCCCAACTCCCCACAAAGGCTAAAATGCAGCTAAAGCATCAGTGCCAGCAATACGTCTGCTGGAAGAACTCGCTTCATCGTTGTCTGTTGTTCTGCAGGGTTTTATGTCACTCTGGTAGTGAACCGGTGGTGGAACCAGTTCGTAAACCTGCCCTGGCCAGACAGGCTGATGTTCCTCATCTCCAGCAGTGTTCACGGCAGCGACGAGCACGGGCGCCTGCTCCGAAGGACGCTGATGCGCTATGTCAATCTCACGTCCCTGCTCATCTTCCGCTCGGTGAGCACCGCTGTGTACAAAAGATTCCCAACCATCGACCATGTGGTTGAAGCAGGTATTGTGAACGGCTTTTCCTTTCGTGGGCTCTTTCTTCCTGGCCTAGATAGGCATCTCCAAGATTCAGTTTCCCCGTGAAATTTCCCTTTCTTCATTTCTTTGAGAAACAGTTGTTGATTCAGTACTGTGTACCAGAAATATTCTTCAGAGACAAAAGTGAGTAAGACCTGGATTTGTCTCACGAAATTTACATAGAGGGGATGCAAAAGCGTGAAAGCTGCTAGGGCTGGAGTGATCGTGCAGGAAGAGGCGTTTGCACTTGGATGACGGAGGTTCGATCCCCAGCACCCCATATGGTCCCCTGAGCACCACCAGGATTCCCAAGTGCAAACCCAGGAGTAACCCCTGAGCACAGAAAATGTGACTCTTCCCCAACCCCCCAAAAGAGTGAAAGCTGCTGACAGCCTACCTCAAACTAAGTTTCAAATAATCACATGATATATATATATATAATTATGTAATAATATCAAAGCATAGTTGTATACTATTATGCCTTCCAATAGTAAAATGTGTTATAACATATGTTATATAGTACAGTAATATATAATATATAGCATATACTATACCCTATTCTATATAATAATTACACTTGTTAAAACTATCTGTATTTTCCAGCACTATGCAGTTTATTCACTTTCATAACTAGTATTTAGTTTGGACCTCAGAAACAAAAATATTCAGAGATGTAATGGCCTGTTTTTGATTTCCAATGAATTAGAGGGAGACCCATTTTAGCTACTGTTGTTGGCATATTTGGTATGTCACGGGTGGCTTGCCATGCTCTGCCGTGCGGGCTGGATACCCTCGGTACTTGCCAGGCTCTCCGGGGGTGGAGGAGAAGAGTTGCTTATCCACCAGCTGCTGTTTTAGTGGCTGGTTCATAAGATCGCATCGGACTTCAAGACCGACCTGCACTCCTAGAGCTCAGCCTTCATGGCACTGCAGGAGGCGTAGGAGGCCTACCTGATGGGGCTCTTCAAGGACACCAACCTCTGCGCATTCCCCGCCAAGTGCGTCACCATTCTGCCCAAGGACTTCCAGCTGGCGTGCCGCATCCACGGAGAGAGAGCATAAAGTTTACAATGCTAAAAGCTCAGGGCTAGGACAAATGGAGATGCTACTGGCACCCACTCAAGTAAATCGATGATTAACGGGATGACAGTGACAGTGATAGAGGGAGACCCAAGCTACAACACAGGTTAGGAATGCCTAAGTTCATACTTTCCCGAAACATAAATTAATTCTGGTAGGAAGCAGTAGTGTAGTTTTCTTCCAGGCACCTCGAGAGCTGGCAGTAAACGGTGCCTTCTGGTAGATCTGGTATTCCCTATTTCTTAAATTAGATGCATATATTCTTCTTGTGCTCCCAGAACAGTCGGCTAAGAACAAATCATGTTTGTAGGGTGGCTATCTTTGGTATGTTAATATTTAGCAAAGAAACTGTCAAACTAATCCTTAATGGAATGAGGTTTAAGTAAGATTTTTATTGGTATGGGTTTAAATAAATATTGGTTCTTAATAATAGACTTGCTAGTCTGTTAGACTGTATCAATGAGTATGCAGGTGGTAGAAGACCCATGAGATGACTCTACTTTTATTCTGAATACAACTTCAAATTAGATCACTACATTCCATCTACTTTTCTGAAATGTCTGTGAAATGTGTTTTTAAAAGACTAATTTTGAGTCTCAGGGTTTACTCCTGGCTCTGTGCTTAGAGATCACAACTGGTGGGGTTCAAGGGACCAGATGCAGTAACAAAGATTGTACCTAGATCAGTGAATGCAAGGCAAGTGTCTTAAACCCTGTCTATCCCTCTGGACAAAGAATAATATTTTTAGAGGGGTTTTTGGATTTTATTTGGTTTTGCATTCTTTGGTGGAGGGGTGGGGGGGGCGGGGTCAGGGCTAACTTCTAGCTCTGCGCTCAGGGATCACTCCCAGCAGTGCTCAAAGCACCATATTTGGTACTGGGGATTGAATCTGGTTTGGCTAGTCACAAGACAAATGCCCCACCCTTTGTACTATCATGTTGGCCCCTGATTTTGCGTTCTTTTATGGACAATGTTCATAGGAACTAATAATGTATAGTAAGAGTTAAAATCTTTACGTCACTACCTACTAGTTTCCTTCTATGGATTATTGTTTGTGCTTCCATTCCTCATCCATAAAATGAGTTATACTATCATATTTGATATGAATCATAGACCTATTTTGAGGGTTAAATAAGTTATTGTTTGCTAAGTGGTAAGAGTAATAACTAGTACACTGGTGCAAGTTATAATGACATACCTTCTAGTTCAGCAGAACATAGCATTTTGGTCAATTTAGAAGATTCATTTGATAAGACAACCCGGGTTTTGTTGATCAACTATGAATAGCAGTTTGTGAAACTCAAGATGGAAATAAGAAAAGTTGGATCGTAGAGGATGTTGTTGGGGTGCAGAGTAACATGTGGGACAGTAATAGGTTGCAATGAGTTAGAAGGATTCAGGTGGAAGGTATAAAGAGCCTAGCAGAGATATGTTATGATGCAATGCAGTAAAATTTACAGGAACTCTCCTCCAAATTTAAATATTGAATATGGCTCCAGAGTGTTTCGGTGTAAAATACTACTTTATAACTTAATTTTATTACCCTTGTGTCTATAGAATTAATTACAGCAACAACTCCTACCTCTGAAGAAAGACCTAAAAACAAATGAGAAAGATTTGATGTGTTTGAAATTGATGAGTGTGAGCTAGCATTTCCTTGGATGAGTAAAGGTGGTATTTCTCTAGTTTGATTCATTCTTGGAACAAAGTACGTGGAATCTCATATGAATTGGATGCCAGGCCCAACTATCCAAGCAAATCTCATCCTTTTACCATTACCTTCATAGGAAAGGTGTGCTCAGAGGGAGCCAAGATTTCTGGCAATAGAGAAACCTTTGGGCCTCTGTCTGGTCAGAAATAAACTCAAAGAGAATTAAGTTATGCTAAGGTCTGGGGAAAATAAATCAGGCAAGGGGAATGGTGCAATTTCATGTCTTTGGGGTGTATTTTTCTTAAATGACAAGCCATGCTCTTTGTCAAGCTTCTGCAAATAGCTATCATACACTTACATCCAGTCTTTTTCCCCTTCCAAGATTTGAAATATTGAAATGCCCCTATCTTCATAACCTCTCTTCATAACCCCAGCTGTTCAGGGAACATGCATGTAAGTGAATAGATTCAAACTGTATTCAAACAGATCTTCCTACCCTCCACATCTTCACAATTTTGGGCTGTTTATTTATAATCATATCCTGGACTCTACACAGAACTATTCCATCAGAATCTTTAAAAACAAATCCCAGGAAATAAGACTCTAATGTGCTCCTAAATTGATTTTTTTCATATACTAAAGTTTGAGAAGGACTGAGCCATGGAAGAGTTGGGGGTAAGGGATCTGATTTTTAAAATTCCTTTTCATACCTCTAGTGGGGAAAAAGGACTTTGTCAACTAACATAAAATTTATCACTGTTAACAATAAGAGAATGAATTAGGGGTTTCAGTTATGCTAGACACCCTGGAATTATCCTGGTTAAAGAATAACAGTCTAGGGGATTTAAACTGGATCTAATGACATGCTAAGCATCATTTTGGCTGGATTTCCTTGGGTATTTTGCAGGTCATACGAGGTTAATGCTTTTCCAGGTGCTCCCTGGGGCTATAACTGATGATCACATAAAGACAATTGCTAGTGCTGTTTAGTTTGTTTGTGGGGCCACACCTGGTGGCAGAGGTGCCTGGGATTTACTCCCTGTGGATCGTTTGGAATTGCTCCTGGAGATGCATGAGGGAACATGCAGTTCTGGGAGTTGAACCCAGATCTCTCACATGCAAAGCACGTGCCCCAGCCCTTAGAACAATCTCTCTGAAAGCTAGTAATGTTTCCCTTAATGTTTGTAATTCACATTACCTATCTTTATAACTCTGATAAGAAATTGGCTGGATTATTTTTTTCTCTGAGAGCCACATTCAGTGGTGCTTGTGTGTTACTCCCAAATCTGTGCTGAAACATCACTTCCAGCAGGGCTTGGAGGACCATATGATGCCAAAGGTCGAACCTGGGCTACCTGCAGGCTTAACCCATACTCTCTCTTTCTAAAGTGTTTTCTGGAAAGGCAGGAAAGGAGGCAGTGGAATAGCCTTCATACCCCCACGCGCACCGAAGGAACGTAAGATGTGCATGTTAGGTGGCAGCTCCTGGCCTCAGCGGAGAAAGATCTTCAGTGGCTGAGGTTTCCAGGGCAGGCACCCCCTCAGACTCATGGGTCTGTGTATAAGTTCTTCCAGCTGCACACATACCCTCGCCCCTCCCCAGTGTCCTTTTCTGCCAATGTTTCTGGAAAAAAAAAACAGGAAGTCCTGAGATGGAGAATAGATTTGTAAGCTTTCTTTAGTTCAAAATAAGGGTACTCACCATGCCTTTGGGTAGCAAGGCTGGTCAGCAAAGCACAGGGACCCCAAGGGGTGAAAGCAAAGGCAGAAGGTAAGAAGTGCAAAGACCCTCATCAGAGACCAAAGAGAGAGTGCAGCACATAGGGCACTTCCCTACACAAAATCACCTGTCAGGAGAAAAGAGGTTCTCAAACTTTAGTGCACATTAGATGTGGGTAAACACCAATTGCCTCAAACTGCAGCCCACAAGATTCCACTCCCTAAGTCTGGATGAAGGCCTATAGTGAGAATATTTGCCACACTCCTGGAGACTTTGCAACAGGGGATCACACTGGAAAACAACAGGTTTGAAAGAGCCACAGGATTTCCCTCCAATCTCTTCAGTTGGCTTCAGGGAAGGTTTGTGTCACAAAAATTTCAGGTGGACCAGGAGAAAATGGGGGATGGGGGTGGAAAAAATAGACACCAGCATTTCCTTTGAAGCATCTGACTATACTGGCATTAATGAGTCTCCCCTGCTCGTCCCTGAACTTGTCTTGCTCTTAAATTGGGCAGTGAAGGGTCAAAGAGATAAT